CTGACATGACTTGACTTGCAGACATAATAAACTGTCATTTTATTGTAAGATAAAGTATAATCAGCCACATTTAAAATTATCAATGATCTAATTATCTAAAAATAAAACTTAATATGTCTCTAGGTCTATAATCATTCTTAACTCGAGGAATGGTTAATGATTAATTGCACTGTATAACATGCTCTAATCTCTGTACAAGTCTATTATAAGGCTACAAATAATCTTAAAATAGACATTGAAAGAGAAATAATTGTAGTGTGCAGTCAGTGCTAATGTTTAATAAAGAAAATATCAGATTTCATAAAAACCCTTTGAAGACTAAAGGCAGCAATGACAGGCCTATAGTATCACCAATGCAGACTCTGGATTTTACACATAGTTTTAGGGCAGTTATTGGGGCTGGCAGGGCAGTTAATTACTGGCAGGGCAGTTATTGGCCAGCAGGGCAGATATTGGCTGGCAGGGCAGTTATTGACTGGCAGGGCAGATATTGGCTGGCAGGGCAGTTAATAGCTGGCAGGGCAGATACTAGCAGGCAGGTCAGATACTCGCTGGCAGGTCAGATATTGGCTGGCAGGGCAGATATTGGCTGGAAGGACAGATATTGGCTGACGGGGCAGATATTGGCTGGTAGGGCAGCTATTGGCTGGCAGGGCAGATATTTAGGCTGGCAGGGCAGATTGGATGGCAGAGCAGATATTGGCTGGCAGGGCAGTTATTGGCTGGCAGGGCAGTTATTGGCTGGCAGGGCAGTTATTGGCTGGCAGTCTGACAAAGCAGCATTCCTGAATAACAAAACCTGTTATTGCAAATTTTACCAAGTGACTGACAGTCTGTCAAACATGATTTCTGAATCAGCTAAGACAGACAAATGAACATTGAACTAAATGTCCACAATCAGTTGTCATGATGAAATTTTCCCATGCACAAGGATCAAACTGCACCCCCTCCCCCTGGCTAACAAATTTGATGCTCTCTGTATTGAGTTAAGCTAGGAGGCGGGCTACAGAGCTTGAGACAAGACAGTTTTCTAAGCCTACTCGAAAAACCGCAAACCCGGTCTGAGTCTGCACAAGAGGGACAATGAAAAAGTGCAACATCCTTCATATTACCATTATTATTATGGTGATGAATTCCATGTCAGTTTTATGTGATGAAAGAGTTTGTACAATTTTCATGCTCATAGGGAACAACATAATAACTATTTAAATCACAATGTATAACTTAATCATGGAACACTAATGATCAGATCTTCCAATTTGCCAACAAATAAAAATGGTACACATAATGGGAAAAATTATCAATTTCCTAAATGATGCAAAATCCTAGAAATTAAGATCAACACTTGAAAGAAATTTGATAAGTAAAAAGGTAAAGCATTTTATAGATGTGGTGAAAATTAACACATCAAATGTGCATAAGAAAATGATTTTACTCCAAAGGAGTTGGCAAGATTTCTAACACTAAAACGATTACCAATTAGAAGTTAGAAACATAGTTTTTTTTATTAAATACACACATCATGGAAAATAAAGAGCTTTTACTAATAGGACACCTGCATGTGGCTTAATTCATTCTGAACAAAATTGAATTATAATCCTTACATACAAGCCAGAGAGTTATGGATCTTAGATTGGTTTACTCAACTTTGGTGTATTTTTCAAACAAGACACTTAATGATATGGTATCTCAAAGAAGTGACTGGTATTTAAAATCTAACTCACTGTTGTTTTTTAAGATAAGAGATACTTTACCAAATATAAAAGTTACAGTTTGTGACACATGAAACTTTTGGTGTTGAAAAAAAGGAGAAAGTTCATAATGAAATCAGGAGGAAATTAGTATAAAGAAATTATTAGGAATCATAATCATTGCAAAATTGAGTGAAATGTAAAATGAAATTGAGATACAGAGTTATGGTACTTGACATTAGTTTAATAAAAAGGGGTGCAATTGATTATTTAAGTCTAAAATCGCCAAAGAGAACATCTCCAAAATTTTCATAAAACACATGATATAGTTCTTTGACTAAAACTGGCAGACAAAATTGTTCCTTTTGATAAAATTTGAACTGGGATAAAATCCTAAATATTTGTTTCATTACTGTATTCATATGTTAACACAAGTTTAAGTTGCCACACCCTATTGCTATCTACATAACAAACACAAAAAATAACAACAGACAATTATCCCAAAATGTAATGACAAAAACAAAAATGTGTTTTGGCTAGGAAATAAAAAAGTTTCTTGATGAATGATTGATTTATACAGCACCAAACAAAAGATGTAACACTACAGGAACAAGGGAATATCTGATCTACAACTTTTTCCAACAGAGCTGCTGAAATCTTGTTCTCATTTTTTTCTTTCCTTTTTTTATATACTTATTATATTATCCATACTGCTCACTTCTATTTTATTTTGAAAAAAAAATGTATCTTGTGAAGGTATTTTTCAAATTGGTATTTTGTTGTTGTTTTTTTGCTTTTTTAAGCACTACAGCAGTGTCCTTTAAAAGAACCATAATTATGCTTTGTCCAAAACTGAGTTATACAAAAAGGTACCACTTAAACATGGGCCTAGCTCTGAGCTTAGCGTTTAGAACACAATCTATTTGTCTGATATTGGTACAACAAGAGCCATGTCAACATGGCCATCCCCCGCCAAATGTGTTTGCTCATTGGAAGAATGTATATGTAGAAGAGCAGAATAACTCCATTTTAAGGTCTTTTGGTAATGAAAACTGATGGCTATAGTGATTACAGATTTGAAACCTATGTGAATACTGATGGCTGAAAATAACAAAGGGCAATTACTGAAAAATAATGCAGGGTAGGTTATCATTCTTGTGTGCTGCATCCCTCCTCAGTAAAATCTATCCACCTATGAAGTTTCAAGTTATCTGATACCTCAAATACTTTTAAGAAAAAAATTGAATTGAAAAATTAAGTATGAAAAATAGCAAAGGGCAATAACTCAAAAATTATAAAAGGTACAGTTAACATTCTTGTGCACTGCAAACCTCCTGAGTTAGATCTATGCACCTATGAAGTTTCATAATGATATCTCAAAGGCCTTTTGAGTTATGCTCTGGACAAAAATTAATTTTGAAAAATAACAAAGGGCAATAACTAAACAATTATGCAGGGTAGAGTTATCGTTCTTGTGCACTGCACTCCTCCTCAATGAGATCCATCCAGCTATGAAGTTTCAAGTTGATACCTCAAATACTTTTTGAGATAAGCTCCGGACAAAATATTATGAAAAGAACAAAGAGGAATAACTAAAAATTGTATAGGGAAGAGTTATCATTCTTGTGCACAGCATTCCTCCTCAATAATATCTATCCACCTATGACATTTCATGTTGACATCTCAAACACTTTTTGAGTTATGCTCCACTCAGGTGAAAAATTAAGTATGAAAAATAACAAAGGGCAATAACTCAAAAATTATGAAAGGTAGAGTTATCATTCTTGTGCACTGCACACCTCCTGAGTGAGATCTATGCACCTATGAAGTTTCATGTTGATATCTCATAGGCTTTTGAGTTATGCTCTGGACAAAAATCAATTTCGAAAAATAACAAAGGGCAATAACTCAAAAATTATGCAGGGTAGAGTTATCATTCTTAAGCACTGCACTCCTCCTCAATGAGGTCTATCCACCTATGAAGTTTCAAGTTGATAACTCAAATACATTTAGAGATATGCTCCAGACAAAAATGTCGGACGGAAGGATGGACGGACGGACAGAAGGTCGGACTGACGGACGGAGACTATAACTATATCCCCCGCCGCCTTTTTGGCGGGGGATAATAAGACTGGGTAGAGTATCATATCAGCTGCTTTTTACTAAAGTTGGGTATTGTACTCATAGACAAGTTTAATGTTCACTCATGCAAATTTCATGTTTTTATTTATAAAATAGCCAAAGCAATGTAAAAAATTTGTTAATGAGATTTTGGCTAAAATATTTTAAAACTGGAACTGTTTCCAAAGGACAGACAGATGCCCCCACTGACAACATATATATGGTATATAGTGAAAAAATCAACAAAAGGTCATAATTCTGTTAAATTTGGTTGCAGCAAAAATTCCTTCCTTTACTTCCATCTACACATTCCCTGGATGGACAGACGTACGGACAGACGGACAAGTGCAACACTATATTGCTCCCCACTTTGTGGGGGCATAAAAATTGATTAACAAATATCTATGAGCTTACATGATTCTGTTAATGTCAGGTATACATAAGATAGATTTTAAGTTTATTAAGACCTCCCCTCTGTGTTGATAGTTTCCTTTAATTCCAGGTAATTAGAAAATTCCATCTAATTAGATGTCTGTACAGACAAACCTAGTCTTTCACTTTCTTTCATCTAACAAAACTGATAGTACATCAAAGTATGAAATAAAAAAGCCATTATTATAACATTCAAACAGCCATTTTCAATAACAACAAATATAAGAGCAGTGAGGTTATTTCTCATACACTAGTGTAACATACATTACAATTATAAAGAACACATTTTAGGTGTAGGTATGGGCCTAGAGTATTTGCCAAAGAAATGAAATTTGAAGGCAACAGTAGGTTTATGTACCCCTACAATATGAAAGTGTAAAAGGTACAACAACAACAACATATTTCCTAATCTTGAAAGTAAGGAGGACTATGTACAGCTTTGAATTTGAAGGTTTTGTCTGTGACACAGTACCCTGCGGAAATGACCACATCCATATCAATGCCGACCATGGTTGCACCATGGTTGCCAATGATATGACCTTGATATGCAATTACAGAAATTGGGGACTATGAAATGGTTGTGGTATGACCATGTTATGAACATGTCCATATCATGGATCATCATAGTCAAAGCAAAAGAAATGTTTTGACCATGGTAATAATCATAGTTAAAATGACAGCATATCATGGATATCCAAATAAATGAAGACCATAATATGTTTTTTCATTTGATAATATAATGGCTTGAACTACATCTGTTTTGACCACAACTGGCATGATAGCTACAACATTGCCAGATCATTTATTGAAATCAGAGTCATAACATGTTTGTCTACATGGCAGTTCAGTCAGTTTCATTTTTTTGTCCACAACTACTTTACAGTCTGAGAATTTGTTTAACAATCACACTACATAATTTTTTCCTTCTATTCTCCCTTAAAGCTGCTTTAAAAATATAAGACATGTATGATATTTTGTCCCTGACAGAAAACTAACACACTGATGTATTTGTCAATCGATATTTTTTTATTACCTTGAACAAGTACTTCTAAATGAATTGACCTTCTGTTATAAAAATACCGCCCTAATACTTATTTAAAAATAATGTTTTCTTGTCTTATCTAACTGGACATTCTCCGGCCCCATATATTGAAGTCCGTCACACCCATGTGTTTTACATTTATATTCATTTGGATCGTCAGCTGGAAAAGTTTGAAGCATTTCATACAATAGTGGTGTTGACGATAATTATCCTGATGTCCAGAAAGCACAGTTTTTTTTAATAGTTGTTTATAATTATTTGGAAGCCACGATTTTGATTGTGGATTTGTTGACTTATGTAAAAGTATCAAGTCATAAATGCAGTTTCCAGCCAAATTGTAATTCATGGCAAATGAAAGGAACGCTAATGAATAATCTTTTTCCTTATTAATGCACTGAGCAGACTCACACTGTTCATTGTTTACACTACTGGCATCAGAACTTACATAATCTGTATCAGAACTTACAGAATCTGTATTATCCAGCACATCACTGTTATCATCAGATTCAGAGCCCTCATGTGATTCAGAACCATCACCAATTTCCATTAAAGACTGCATTGATTCTGTTTCATCAGTCAACAAATTTCCATTTTCATTGTAATCGATAAGGATATGATTTTCACAAAAAGTTTCATGTTCTGTAATATTACTAATAAAATTTTCAATCTGAAATGTTTCTTTATTCTGAGATGATTCTTCTGTTTCCTTTTCTGAAGACAGTAAGGCCAGATTTTCATCTGTGATTTCTGCTTTTGGAACTGTAAGAATGAATATATACATTATAATAGACTTAGATACACATCACAGCAATACTATGTTTGGTTAGAAGAAGAACTCTAAATGCTGATGCATGTCAAATGTGAAAGTTCTGGGCATTTTGGCTGTGGACAAGATTTGTGAAATCTGACTGTGACCTTATTATGCAACAAACCAAAACCATATGTAGGACAACTTTGGTAGGAGACCATCCAAGGCTTAAAGAAATACTGTATAAGTGGATCATTATTTCATTTTGGTATGATGAAAAGTATGCAAATTGGCAACTTGCGACAAATCAGAAGAAGAAATATTTGTGCATGTTCAAAGTTTAACTAGTCAGAAATTTGTAATATTTTCTGATGGTGAATAATTGTTTAATTTATCCTATTTCTTGTACTACACAAAAATCACAATGTTCAAAAAGTATTACCAGAGAAAGGTCTATTGTGTGACTCATACCCAGTACAATATTTAATCAATTATCTTACTTGACTGGCTATGTATTTGTAAAAAAATATGTTATAAATTACCCTGATCAGGTACAAGTACTCGTCTGGAAGTAGTTTCTTTTTGGAACAGGCACACTCGGATCTCTATTGTATAGTTTGTAAACTGGCTTAGCTGGACCTAAAAATAATTCAATGTATTATGTTTGTATAATTTTGATACAAAGTGATAATCATAGCTTAAAAATACTCAGTATCAGACCTGGGATCAATCAAAAGACCCAGACTGATAAAAATGTTTGAATATATCATAACAGGCCTTAAAAAAAAAAAATGTCAGATACTCATGCCTGTGATCAAAACTGGAAGATTAAATGAACTTTTTATGATTTGATTGTAAACATAATTCTACACTTCCAACCAAAATTTGCCATGTGAATTTGTCTTTCTAAATCTAGTACTTTCAAGAAATTAAGAGTAATAGTTCTTGTATATTGTACTTCTCCACACTTAGACTCAGGGTTCTGTTCATGTATCAAGTTTCATGACAATACCCTTGATATTTAAATTAACTTACAATCCAGAGAAAACAAGAGCGATCAGTAATCACATGTGTCGCCTCATGATGGCCAATTTCATGTTGGGACAAGTTTTGTGACAGACGGACAGACAGACAGACAGTGCACAACTAGACTTGGTACTGATCATTCCTGTAAAGGTTGGATAAAATTGCATCAGTAGTTTATGAGTAGTCCGGACAAGCTTTTGTGTATCTGGCAACACACAGAAAAAAAACACCTTTTTATCAAAGGGCCCTAACTCTGCCAAAAATCATTCAACCGGAAAACCCGTGCAATATGCGCAACAACTTGAGCTACAGATCAATCCTGTAAAGTTTCATTGAAATTGCATTAATGGTATAATAGAAGTAGTCCGGACAAACTTTAAAAATAAACATAATTAAAGGGCTATAACTCTGACCAAAATCATTGAACCAAAAAATGCTGACAATATGCACAACTAGACTTGGTACTGATCATTTCTGTAAAGTTTGGATGAAATTGCACCAGTAGTTTATGAGGAGTAGTCCGGACAAGTTTTGTGACGGACGGACGGACAGACAAACAGACGACGGAGAAGTGATCCCTATATGTCGCCACTGCTCCGTAGAGGCGACACAAAAATGAAGTACATGTATGAAAATAAAGAAGAGCAATAACTTATGGGAGGAATTACAAGGTTACAGTTCTTGTGCACTGCATTTCTCCATGAGAAATGTCCATTTTCTTGACAAAACTTTACAAAACATGGCCTGTCCAAAGAACAGGTTACCTTGACAGTGATGTTACACTTACTTAAGGAATGACAATCCACCAGATGTGAAAAAACCCTGTTTTTAGTAGAACGGTGAGCTCCACAAAGAGTACATCTGAAATAAGTCTTTTTCCCAATTTTCACAACATCACAACAGTCTTTCTTTGATGAATTCATCTGAAAAATTAACAGGATAGTAAAAGAATAACCCAAGCGGATAAAACAATGGTATAACAAGATGTTTTTTTTGTGAAAAATGCATGTCTCTCCCCTGCACCCGATGGAATTAAAGCCACGGGAAAGATATCACCATTCTGAAACAGATGCCTCTGTCATTTATTATGGTATAAGTAAGAACAGGGCTCTCAGTAGTGTCAGAATTTTCAGGTCAAAGATTCTTTGACCAAAATGTTCAGGAGTCAAATCATTTTTTTTCTAAACATGAATTATTTTTAAGTTACAAAAATTATCTTTACTGGTATGCTGTATAATAAATTATATCATATAAATTTTTAAATACCAAAATGTACTAGGGACTATTCAACGAAAAAAAGAAATAACAAATGTGCAGGTACTCCAAGTAAATCAAAGACATATTGTAAAATAATTGACATCTCAAGCATGTAATTCTTATCAGTTGTGTAGAGCTATTTTTAGCGCTGTCAAATTACATCCACTGATGTCACGATTCAGTGCACATGCTATAAACAAATGCTGTGTGGAATACACGGTGACATTTTTATTGAGTTTGATTTGAACAAATGTAGGTGTCAAATGTGTTCATAAATTTACCGGATTTTCACGTGTCCCATGTCAAACGAGAGCTCTGTATGACAGTATGAGGCACTATTATACGTTTGCCATTAATTTATTTACTTATTAATTTAATGTAATGTTTTTTAAAATACATAAAGGTAAGACTTTATGAACAAAAATGACAGTTTTGGTAGGGCGAAACGTCTTTGGGTAATTTGGGGCCGAAACGTTTTTTTGGGTCGAAATGACTAAACGTACTAGTTTTCCGTGACTTGAGATCTTGTATTCTTTTTCATCTTTTTTATATTTCGACATGTTGAATCACATTAAATTAAATTCAAAATAAATATCACTTTTACCAGTGTCTGCGAGTGCTATATTTCTTTTTTAACAACAAAATGAAACTTGTGTGCTTCCTGTTTTGTTTATATACGGATTACATTGCACAGCCACGTGAGTAATATCATGTCCGAGATAACGTAACGATATCTTTTTTTTTTTTTTTTTTTACAAAATAGACCAAAGATTGATAACATAAATGAATTTTTTTAATAAAATACAAGTTACTCACCTGTTTATCTGGCTGTTTCGACGTCGGCTATACCTACCCGAAAATATTCGTGTTTTTTTTCCGCCGTAGTCCGGGAAGAAAGCACCCAATCGGAACATTATCTATAAGACTGACGGAAAGGGCCGAAAAGTTGCGATTGAGAAAGCACAATCATGGTTTCTGACGGCGTGCGCATTGAGTTTAATTTGCGGGAGACGTTCGAAAAACATGTCAGCATTGGAGACAAGTCTTGTTTTTTCTGGCCAGAAGAGAGTGCCTGGTCATTGGTACAGAATTCAGCATTAGAGACGGGGGCTACAATAGGATCCAAAACTCGAGTGAAGTTCAAGTGCAAAAAAGTATCTAGGCCATTTTATTGCAAGTAAGTCGATGCTTTGCAAAGAGTGCGCGGCAAATGCAGTTTGCAGAATGATTGTCCGGTTGAGATTTTATATATAGAATACTCAAATATAATTTTACTAGAAACATTAGGTACTGAGCTATTTTGCGACAGGCCACGATATGCAGTAACAGATATTTAACGTAAGTGGCAGTATCGGTGTTTAATTAATTTACCACACCCCACCTCCCAAGACTGCTGATTTCTTTACTTTCGGCTTTATAACATTAACTAGCGGTTAATTGGGGATCTGTAAATAATAAATTGTAATAGAAAAATATATTGTGCATTGATTCCATGTAAAAATCCGACGATATTACCGCCCGACACAGATAACGCGCGTACCCATAATTTTCGTACCTGAAAAGTGAATTTTTTTTTTTTTTTTTTTTTTTTTTAATATATTGATGTTTTAGTGCATAAATAACAAGGTTAAACACATTTTAGGTCAAATCAATGCCACTAGCACCTTTGATGTGTATGCCTTCCTAGTTTCATGAACTGTGTATTTTTCAGAGGTTCTTAAAAGCAAGGGAAAGAAGTTTTCAAGGTTACTTGAATTCTCTTCTTTTTGAGAAGAGACTGCTGATGACATCATAAGAAAAAACAAGAGAAGAGTACTGTAAGTATTATGAGCAAGGAGGATCTTTTTGTGAACACTGTAAATGTCTAGTGTTATTTGTCATTAAAATTTGCTACAAAACGTTTACAATCAACTTTATCCAAATTCATTGTCTAAAAAAAAGTTAAATTAATTCTGCCTCTCTAACAAGATAGCCCACCAGGGCTTAAAATGGAAAAAACATCACAAACATCATGTTCTTTATGGGCTGAATCACACCAGTATGCCCAAAGTTATGTGCCCTTAATCGTTAAAAAAACTTGAAATATTGACTACTCGGTCTATTATTTTGCAAACTCCTTTTTTAATGATTGCATTGAATCTTGCTATCAACCATCACTAGATAATGTAGGTGTGCAAGACATTATTTTGATGGCATAGCATTGCAGAGTTATGTGTCCCTTTTATTACAAGGATTGCTAATGTTATTTCTAAATATAGTTTTTCAGAGACATTAATTAGCGTGTTTTCTTAAGTCTTATTAATGATATAAGACCATCAACTAAGTCATCTTGTTCCATAATTATACCTCACAAGATATGAAACATGGGAATTTATTGGATTCAGGTGTTTGTCAGTCAGTCTGTGTATCTTGAGGTTAAAACTGTCCAAAAGTAATTTCTCTGCAACTACCTGCATTTAATAAAACCTCACAGCTGTGATAAAAAAGTAGGCCTAGTTGTGCATGTAATATAGTTTATAAATAATTTCTGTTATTGTTTAGTCACAGGATGATAATAGCCTATAATGATTATTTCAGCCAGAAAGACTATGTCACCAAAGATGAGCTGGATGCAGTTGTGGATGACTTAAGAAGCCTCCGCAGAAGAGTAAGAAAATTAGAAGCAGCAGCAGCAGCAAATACCACAAAGGAGAGAAAAGCGAGGCCAACATAGATTTAAAACCAACTGATGGAAAAATGCTGACAATGAATTCAATGCTGTTGAAATACTGCTGCTGCATTTCTTTGACAAAGAAACAATATTGCAATCGTCTGTCAGTGGCAAGAGGGCTAATACTAAAGTGAATCTTGAGTCTTTAAAATAAAGCACTAGACTTCACAAAAATTACAAAAATAAAATCTATTCTTAAGAGTAAGTTTTCCAGCAATAAAACATAAAGATATCACGCAAAAAAATACACAGTGAGCAGAAGAAGCTGCAGAGGAGGTGTTCGAAGGGTTAATTCTCTCCAGTTACTTTGATGTTACAGTTACTCTTGAAGTCATCAGTTTTCAAGTAACATTTAAGTTTCAAGTGCCATTATTTTCTTTCTAAATGATGTTGCCGTTGGCACAGTTTATCTGATGTGATTTGTGTATATCGCTGACATAGTTAATGATATACCCTGGATATTATGGATGATTTAATGTATAGGTTGTTTTAATAATAATACACAGTTTTGTTCACAGTTTCAAGGTTGAGTTTGAAAACTATCATTGCGGAATCATTTAAAAAAAAGTTGTTGATTATAGGCTTTATAGCTGTAAATTTAACTTAATTCAGAGAAATTCTAGTGATGTGGCGCAAACGTTTTAATATTTTCATATTGTAAAATAACTTGTTATGGTTTGAACTTTCCATATTTTGTGACACAAAGGCAATTCTTGCACAATTGATACTTAACAATATAAGCCATTATTTGACAAGTGTATTTTTGATATTTAAGTGTACACAGTCCACTTATTTTTTCATATTTTGCCTTGAAGCGGCGCAGGTCACAGTTTAAAATTGTTTTTTGTTATTTATAGAAGTATTTTAGTAGAAGTGTCATACTACCAAATCATAACCACATACTGGTATTAAATATGTTGCTGAAATATGGTCATTTCGTAACTTGTCCATGGTCAAACACGTTTTGGAACTGGGAGCCAATTTACAAACGTGATTGACCATGTTTCAAACATGTTTATAATGTTGTCAGAACACAGCTAGAACATGTTTTGACACATGAACAATCATGTTTAAAAACATGGTTTGACTGTACCTGTAATTGTGTAATAAATTCTGCATGGTTACATCATGGTTTATACATGGCTAAAAACGAAGCCCCATCATTGTCACTTATATCATGGCCAAAACATAGTCTTTTCAGCAGTATGTTTCTGACTACCATATCAGAACCATTTAATGGTATTAAATATATGTTGCTGAAATATGGGTCATTTCATAACTTTTTATTGTCCCATGATCAAACATGTTTTGGAACTGGGGGCCAATTTACAAACATCATCAACCATGTTTTAAACATGTTTATAACATTGTCAGCACAAAGCTAGAACATGTTTTATGGAAAGGTTTGAAACATGAGCAACCATGTTTCAAACATGGTTCAAACATGGTTTGGCTATAATCATTTCCGCAGGGTAACTAGTATAGAGGTTGGCGGCAAAAGCCATGCAGTAATTTTTGCAGGTAGCATTACAAGGGTTAAAGAACTGGAAATATTATTTTCTGTGTATTGAGGCATCTTTCATCAAAGAGGGTGACCTTTAAGATAAGCAAACCAATATATTTGACATAAACATGTATATATTCAATAAGTAAACCAAGTATAGACACATTCTGTTACTGACACATTAATTCCCTCAGGAAAGAAAAAACAAGCACAAAAAACTTCTCACTGGGGATATACAAATATAGAGAAAATACAACAATGACACATTCACACATAGAGAGAGTCTGAGAGAAAATTTCTTCCTATTTTTTGAGCTGGTTTCATCACAGGTTACCACAACCGACTACCTGTTATCACCTAGAAATAATTATCATAATCATAACATCAAACATATCATCATAAAAACTCTCTCATGGGTATCAGCATGACCTATATTATATATCAGCCATGTTACTAGTGTGATAAGTCAGTTATCAAACAGCAACAAGATAATATCTCATGTTAGTACACATCATAAATTAATTATCTGGCCAATCAGATTAAAGTATTATCTAAGATATAATTATATTATCACAAGTATTATGATTGGTCCGCTGATAAGCCCAAGTTCAAAGTATCTCCAAACATTACATACATCATATACAGCATTCCACACTTGTTACTTTTTCCTTACACCATAATAAATAGATGATATTGCAATATATAAATGATATATCAGTCAGCACCCTCCTATCATACAGATACCATCTGAAATTTCTGTTCCATAAAGACATCAAATCTGATTTATATGATTATGATCAAAGAATGTAAGTATACTACTTTTAAAAAAAGTGTCTCTCAATTTCATAAAAAAAAATCAGAAAATTAATAATTATTAAATAAATAAATAATAATAATAATAAAATACCAATTTCTCCAGTACTGACTTTACAATATACTTTAATTGACTTTTCTTTTATACATTTCAAGAAATCATCATTCTGCAGTGCAAAAAAATCACTGCAATGAAACTGACCTATACATACACTTTTCAAACCCAAATAAAAAAAGTGCCAGTCTATCAGTAATAATTCTGGTAAATAAATACATGTCAGATACTATATGAGACAGTGTTTACATGGGTTACATAAATCAAGGGTGTTTTACTGGCGTTATTACAGCATATCTTCAAGCATCTTGTGATTACCTGTACAGTAACATGATATATAAATTTATTACATTTTATACACATAGTTTGTATATACAAGCTAGACCTATAAAAGCAAGCAACTAGTGGATCCACCCAAACAAACTAAATTTCACAATACAGTCAAACCCCTTGTGATGTGTTTCTCAATAATGCTCAG